GGGGGGGGATAGGGTGGTCCAACTTCCCTGTTCCATTGGAAACTGTGTTTGGTGGACACAAAGGGGGTGGGGGAGTCTGTCTGGGGTGGGGGAGCATGTGGCCAAATGCATTGTTTGTTCCAGTATTATGAAAGCAATGCTGGGGAACAGGGCGGTGTCCCCAAGGGGGGGCAGGATATGTAGCTAGGAGATGAGAGCCCAGCAACTCCCCCCTCGGGCTCCTCTGCACACACAGCCCTGGGACTGCTGTGACCTTTGCCGGTGGTGGCATCCAGGAGAACGAGGCTGCAAAGCGAGGGGTGGGTGTGAGTGATTGTGTGATGTGTGTGTGTGTGTGTGCGCATGCATGTGTTTGTGTTGTGTGTGCATGTATATGTGTATGTGTGTGCGCATGCATGTGTTTGTGTTGTGTGTGCATGTATGTGTGTGTGTGTGTGTGTGTGCGCATGCGTGTGTTTGTGTTGTGTATGCATGTATGTGTGTGTGTGTGTGCGCTTGCATGTGTTTGTGTTGTGGTGCACGAATGTGTGTGTGTGTGCTGTGCATGCATATGCGTGCGTGTATGTGTGTGCGTGCATGCATGTGTGTGTGAGTGCGTATGTGAGTGTGAATGCATGAGTGTGTGCTGTGTGTGAATGTATGTGTGTATGCGTGTGCATGCATGTGTGCGTAAGTGCGTGTGTGTATATGCGTGTATATGTGCGTACATGAGCGTGTGAGCGTGTGAGCGAGCCAGCCTCCAGCGGACACGACAGGGTGCCGAGGAAGGAGACGACTTATGAAGGCACAGACGCTGTCTCTCTGCTGCAGAAAGCGAGCGAGCGAGAGAGAGGGAGAGAGAGAGAGAGACAGAGAGAGACAGAGAGAGAGACGCTGGAAGGAGTGTAGGAAGGAGGCTGGGGTTGCGACGCCACATGCAGCCACCACATATGCTGCCATCGCAACTTTTATTCATCTGTTGTTGTTTTTCTCCTCCTGCCCGCGAGAGCCGCCTGATGGTCGCTTGCTAGGGACAGCACAGCCGGACGCCCCCACCTCGGCGCCCCGCTCCACTCCCTCGCTCGCTCGTCTGCTGGGGAGGCATGGAGACCAAGGCAGCGTTCAGCCTGCAGAAAGCTCTGGCGCAGCCGGTGAAGATGTGCATGTTCGACTTCCCCGTGTCCATCCTGGACGACCTGGTGAGGGAGCCTCTGGGGCTCACATTTGATTCTTCCTCTATCTTGCAGCAGGGGGGTGGGCTGGTCTCTCAGGGTATTTCAGACAGTGATTTTGGGGGGGTGGGGGGCGTGGTAGCAGGGGGTACACCTAGGGGGGCTGAAACTTGTGGGTGTCAGGTGTGTTTGTGTGCATGTGCGTGCGTGTGTGAGTCAGCTAGCTGGGGAGGCTAGCATGCCGTCGCGGTCTGCCCAGCGTGCTGTGAAGCAACAGTTCCTCTCTTTTGATATCTCGGCGGCTGTGTCCCCCCCCCCCCCCCGTGCTGCGCGGCGCAGGGCCCCCCCAGCCACTGCCAACGAGGCACTCAAACTGGACACACCTCTCTCCGTGCCGCTGTTTTTAAACTGCTGGAGATCCCGCAAGACGATATCAGCCCCCCCCCCCCCCCCCCCCC